GAGAGAGAGAGAGAGAGAGAGAGAGAGAGAGAGAGAGAGAGAGAGAGAGAGCGGGAGAGAGATTGTAGAGTGTATAGGAAGAGTGTTTTTTATTTTCGTCTTTTCGTGTGTTTTTTTGGTAAGTGTTTTACGGCGCTTGCAACTGCATAACGTCATATGAGAGCGCCGACATAGATCTACCAAACATTTTCAATTGGTAGGTAATTTTGAATTTTGTGCGGGTGGCGGCCGAAGCTTACTCTTATCGATTCCGGACAACCAAGGGATCTTTAACGTGCGCAACTTGAACACGGGACCTCCGAGATTTTTCGCCCTTATCCGAGAGGCTAGCTGTAGATCTTACCTACCACAAGAGCAGAGGTTTGGCTGAAAGTTGAAAGACAGCAATAAGAAGGAACCAAGGAGATGCAGTATAAAGGCTGCAGAACCAGTCAGGAGCCAAGAGGAGGGGGCAAAAGGGAACGAAAGGGTGGGGGCAGAAAGTGGAGCTGAAAGCAGACGATAGAACATTATTGTTAGAGAGCAGGAAAGGATGTGAAAGGAGAAAATTTAAGAAAAAAAATTGTCCATCCCTATCCGGATTCAAACCCGGGACCATTGAATGAGAGGCGAACACCTTAACCTCTAGGCCACGAAAGCCCCGGCGTATGTGTTTGTATATGTATATTACATGTTTATGTAATATGATGAGTCTGAAAAAAGTGATATGTTTATTTCCATGAAACCTATAACTTATAACAATAATGGAAAATGTTTCCACTGACAATACAAGCAAGGCTTGCTCAACTTGCTGTTTTTTATTGAGTTCCTTTTCTTAGAAACCAGTTTCTTACGTAGTTACTGACAGTCAGACCTACGTGACTAGAGACTACAAGAAGACGAGGGTGCAATTTTTTTTTTTAGTTTAAACATGTATGTGTTTTTGGCGCCTCGTCGATACAATTTAGACAATAAGAGGCGGGCTTCCAATGTCACTGCATGTACCTGTCAGGAGAGGGATACAACACCCCAGCAGAAAGACCGAGATACATGAACTTGACAAAAAGTCTATCTCCACTCGAGAATCGAACTCAGGTCTCCAGTTTGCAACAGCGATCGAAGCGCCTAACCCGTTACACCACAGACGCCAGTTGTATATATCTTTGTTGAGAGGTTTACCACTACCAACTGATGAATGCAGTCAAGACGACCGTTTGACCACATTGTCTTAATCTAAAACAACTGAGGGGAGTAGGCTACTGATTTCTTTTTGTCACTTGTGGAGCAAAGAAGGAAAAGCCTGTATTTTGCCTTGTGTGTTTCCACAACAGTGGTCAACAAATTTGAACTTGAAGTACAGCGTGTTGCAAAATTAACTAATAAAAAATATTTAGACTTAAAATATTATAAAATACTTTCAATATGTTATTAACCTTATCCGTGCGTCGTGTTTTACTATCGTATCTATACGACGTGTGAATTCAGCGCCACCACTTTCCAAAGAGGAAATTCACTCATTAATCCGATCCGTACGCTTTGCATAGCAGTCTGTCAAAATGATTTTTTGAGAAATATTGAAAGTTTCAAAGAGATCTTCGTACTACGAGTACTCTAAAGTGTGAAGAATACAACCCCAGGGGTACAAAATGACCTCAGGGCGTACGGATAGGGTTACGAAATTGTTAAAGGTGTGTTTTCTGATGGAACTAAATTTTTCACCTGGTACGACTTTTTTGCTCTTTTCACCCCATTGCTCAAAAATAGCTTAGCCGACAACTGGGACTTTTCTCCAGGCACACATAGATAGATTATATTTGTGTGAAGTATTCGTTTCCATAAAAAGGAAGTTATACTCAAGAAAATAAAAATCTTGGGAACAGAAAAGCCAGAGTTGGGGTTCGATTTTGTCTTTGATAACAGATAATAATTACATATGTCATAAGATTTTTCAAAGAACAAAACAGCTAGTCTAGTACACAGAGGAGTCCATGTGCAACAAACTTCCTATGGGTACACATTGCCTTTCTAAACCCATTCTGCACTAACAAATGCTGCAATCTTTAAGCATAAATGTAGTTACACTTTGAACACCCAGTGTGTAGTCTTATGCCCTTGAAACTTTTTCAATTGCTTTTTGTGAAAAGGTTTGATGCCTTACAAGTTTAGTCTCTTTATATATAGAATACATTGATCAACTCGGCATTCTATAGAGCTAAGGAATAAAAACATGAAAAGAAGTCGGACAGTTTGTTCAAAGATTTTACTGATGGTAGAGTCAAATATTTCAATTTGCGTCAAAAACATGTCCACAAATAAAACAAAACATAAAATATCATTTAGTAAGTTTCCCAAGAGAAAGAGAGGAAGGCAGAGAAGGAGATGGGAAGACAACATTACAGAGTGGACAGGGAAGACGACGGGTGATAATCTGAGGAAAGCAGAGGACAAAGAGAAATGGCGAGAGCTGGTTTTCAGATGCAGTGGTGCCCCCATGGTTGCCCCAACCACATTATATTATGCATGTGATTGTAAGCCTACTTGTGTGTGCATGTGTGTGCACGTGTACATGTGCGTGTGTGTGTGTGTGTGTGTGTGTGTGTGTGTGTGTGTGTGTGTGTGTGTGTGTGTGTGTGTTTTGGGGAGTTATGATTTATTGTTTTTTGAAAGTGGATAGCTTTGGTGATGTTGTTATGGCTTTGTTTATTGACAGCTATGGCGTTAGTAGCTGTAAGAGAATTAGTAGTGGTAACAGTACCCTTAGGGAAGCAAGGGTAGCAGTAGCAGCAGTAGTAGAATTAGTAGTAAATTATGTAGAGTTCGCAGCAGTAATAGCAGTGGGAGCAGAAGTAGAATTAATGGCAGTAATAGAATTAATAGCAATAGTAGCAGTAGCAGTAGCAGCTGTAGCAGCAACAGTGGAATAAGCAGCACAACAATAATTATAGCAGCAGCAGCAATAGATTTAACAGCAATAGTAGCAGCAGCAGCAGAAGTGGTAGCAGTGGCAGTAACATCAAGAAGGGGAGAGAAAAATACGAGCACTCTCGATACCTTTCTTTATTACGTACTTCTTTTGTACTCGTGACCATCAACATAATTACAACTACACCGTCATCATCGTCGTCATCATCATCATCATCATCATCATCATCATCATCATCATCATGGTGTGGTTTGCTCCTTCTAATCTATTAAACATCTATCAACCTTTTTTTCTACTTATTTTTTTCTTTCTCCATTTTGTATGTTACTCTCCCTGGTAGTAAGATGTCTTTTCTTAG